CCCCCCCCCCCCCTCCCCAACCAAAACAATCTTTAGCGTAGTAAAATTGTGAAGTTTGTATTCTAGTTACTAAGTTAGTTAAAAAATTCCCATTTGATTCTTGTCCAGTTGAGTTCATTACAAATAGTACCAGAGCATGATCATGGAACCTTTAGAAGTTTGACAGTCATGGCTGAAGAAACTCTATATGCAGAGTTTGCAAATAGAATAGACAATCAAATTTAGTCTTCTAGAGCTCAGCTGAGGGGAGGGGGTGAATTTTGACAAATTAAGCGGAAAACTGGAGGAGCAAAATGTGATGATAGGAAAAATCCCCAGCAATTATACTTCAAAGTGAATACCCAGATCTTAGTGACGAATTGACGCTACTTGAGATAGCAACAATTGATGGAGAGAAGCTTCAAACTTTCAATTAACCAAGATAAATGGGTCCAGAAACAGTGGAGGAGACAGCGAAGGGATGGGGCAAGGTAAGAGATTGCAACCAGATTTGGAAATCAATACAAGGAATACTAGGTTGGATAACATTAGGAATGAAGATATTCGGGAGTGGGTGGGCGTGGCTCCGGTGGACGACAAGATGCGGGAAGCGAGGCTTAGATGGTTCGGGTACGTGCGGAGAAGAAGCCTAGATGTCCCGGTTAGAAGGTGTGAGCGGTTGGCTTTGGCAGGTACGAGAAGAGGAAGAGGGCGGCCTAAGAATTATTGGGGCGAGGTGATCAAGCAGGACATGGCGTGGCTCCAGATTTCCGAGGACATGGCTCATGATAGGAAGGTGTGAAGGTCGAGCATTAGGGTTGTAGGTTAGGGGGTAGTCGAGCATTTTTCATCTTTGTACCGGCTACTCTAATAGTGTATTGTCTAGGACTGCTAGATTTTTATGTTTTGTTTCACACTTTTGCATAGTATGTGTTATTACCCTTCCAATTATTTGCTGTCTCTCACGATACTAATATTATTTTTCCGGTTTTTTTTGTTATTACGCATCTTTTGTCTCTGAGCCGAGGGTCTCCCGGAAACAGCCTCTCTACCCCTCCCGGGTAGGGATAAAGTCTGCGTACACTCTACCCTCCCCAGACCCCACTAGTGGGATTCTACTGGGTTGTTGTTGTTGTTGTTGAATATACATCTTTTGGGTAGCACCACCCCAAGAGATTGCAGCTATATTTGGAAATCAAGAGAACAAATATACATCTTTTGGTAATCACTCCATTGTCTTATTCTTTGGCTGATTCTTCAACCCTTTCCATTGCTCCAACAAAGAGTTTGAGTTTGATTTCTGAAAGAGGTTTGACCAAGATACGTAGAACTGAAGAAGTTTTAAGCCATGAAGGCAATAATAGGGCTCAAAATGTTGAAACTTTCAGTAGAGGGTATCATTCAAATATTCTGGAGAACGTGATTATTATAAATAATGAACATTTTAATGAGGGACCAGAGAAGCATAGGCTGAAATCTGATGCCAGGAAGACATGGAAAAAAAAAACTTTTCCGCTACTTCCAGAGGTGCATATTGTCATCCATTATCCTAATCAAGTTATTGCTCAGGTCGTGTTTGTGAGCCATGTTAAGGCATTATTGTTAATTTGTCAATCAAGAAGCTCCTATACAAGTCCTGTGATGTGATGGTTTCTCTGTTTGTGATTCATTTTCCTTTTATTTATGTCATCATATTCTACTCATCATAAAACAAGCATGTTGTTTTACAATGAAAAAGGTCCGCCAAGTAAAAGCGGAAAGACCATTTCGACATGTAGTTTTTACAAATATAAGTTACTGGATTGTGGTTGTATCCTCTGTGTCACACCAGGCATTTTAAGACACATAAAATTTCTGTAGTAGATTACCAAATTACTGATTGCAAAAATGTGTGGAAGAAATCAAATTCCTTTGTGATGTCTGAAGAGATATCTACTGTCAAGAGCATTGATTTTCACATGGCCCAACCGAGCCCTACTTCTTCTTAGAACTAACATTAGTGACATCATTATGTTGGACGCTTGTAGTACAGAGCTTGCATTCAAGAATTTCATTGGTTGGAACATTTGGTTTCGTTCAGTGTTATTTCAGACATTTGCGGTAAATCTATATGCTTCACACAACCGTCTGAGTAGTTGTGACATAGTCCCTCCGTTTCAAAAAGAATGAACCTATTATTATTTGGGGAGTCAAACAAGGTTTTCTTTTACCATATTTTTTTGCAAATAATTTTTAAATATATTGAATTGTTAACTATCGTGACTTATATTTTTTATCTACTTTCTTAATATGTAAATTTTATTATAAAAACTAAAAGAATCTATATCCAAATTCACGCTAAAAATTAGTCAATTTGACCCTGGTACTCCGAAAAGGTTCAATGAAATTGAAACAATAGGGAGTATTTGACTTCTTCTGAGCTGAGGAGTCCTTTTGGGAACTTTCATTTTTTTTTGAGAAGGATCCTTTTGGGAACTTTCATTTGATTCTAGTTCATTTGAGTTCATTACATTCTCATAAGGCTTTATATAAAATTCTGCTTAAAATTTGTGTTAATAAGTATGATTATCCTACTCCATAACAATTACAAAGTAATTTAGAGGACAAAGGGACATACAATTTAATGATTTTGGAGTAATCGCGAGTTAGGATGTTGTAGCCAGTGGACATCCTAGTATCAGCAGCAATTACACAGTAATCTGCACCTGCAACCGCAACACACGTTCTGCAACAGTGTACGGATCAGATACATTAACATCCAGATCAACATCAATATAATAAGAAAAGGACGCAAAAAAAAAAAATGGTAATAATATATAATTAAGTACCCTCCATTGTTGTCATAAGGAGACCAGTTAGCTTGCTGCTTCGTCATAGCGAGAGAGAGAGAGAGAGAGTAAAAAACTAGGGTTGAAGAAGAAGATTGAAACTGAAATTGAAGAAAGAGGAGAAAATTGATGAGGATGCCTCCTTCAGCAAGACAACTCTCTCAGTGGGTGTTGATTTCCTGTAGGCCTTCTAATGGGCTCTTGGTTGAGGCCCAATTGTTTCCTGTCCTTGTCTAAAAAGGCCTACAACTCGGGGCATTTGCACAAATGGCCTTTTTGAGGTCAATATTAAAATTATGTCCCAGTAGCTCAATGGGTTACATTTATCAGGAAAAAGAAGAAAAATCATGTAACTTTCCACCATATTGAGCTAAGTGCCACACTTTACATTAGATATCTTAGCTATAATAAGAGAAGAGGAAAATAAAATCGATTATTCTTCTTGCTTTTATTCTTGCTATGCTGAATGAAATCCATTCTTATTACAAGTTTTTAAGTGTGACCAACTACGATAGAAATAATAAAGGAAAAAAAACTTTTAGATGTAAAATTTAGTATACTAAGCTATTAAGGACAAAATTTAAAGAGTGGCATAGGGGTGGGCATATATCAGGTAAAACCGATAACCCGAACCGTTAATTATTTATTGGGTTATCGGTATTGGGTTACTGGGTTAACGGTTCGGTAATGGGTTAAATTTTTTTTTTCTATTGGGTTATCGGTTCGGGTTCGGTTTGGCAATTCCGTTATTGGGTAAAACCGATAACCCAATAAGGATTAACTAATTTACTAGTTTACCCTTAAGTATATGCATACTAGGGTTTCATAATTCATACTTCATAGTTCACGCTTTGATTTCCCTATTCTTTCTCAGTTTCTGCGCCTCACGCCCTCACCAGTTAGCCCGTCAAGACTCAGGCCGATGTCAGTCGCATCACGCCCTCACCAGTCAGCCCGTCAAGACTCTGGCCGGCGTCAGTCGCATTTCTCAGCTTCTTTCTTTCACTCTTCAGTCACATCTTCACTTTTATTTTTCAGATCCATCAGATTCTTCAGTCGCATCTTCTTCACTCTTCAGTCGAATTTCTCAGCCGCATTCTTCAGCTTCATCTTGATTCTTCGTGTAAGTTTTTAGTTGCTTCATCTTCATCTTTTTCTTAGTTTGTTTCAAAGCATTCTGGCTCTGAATTTTCTTAGTTTGTTTGAAAGCTGAAGTGAGATTTGTCGTGTGCTTTAATTGTTGAGCTGTTACAAAGTTGTCTTGTGTCAGTTATTATAAATTTGTATTTCATAACTAATAAACTTTTTAATCTATATACATAATTCAGTACTAGAGTAAAAAAGTAGATATCAATGTACAAAGAGTTACTGCTAGTCGTTTGAACAAAGAAGATCTTAAGAACACTGATGTTATTTTACTGGCCAACTACTTGAATTAGAGATTATTGATATCATTTTAAGATTTTGGTTAGTGTTTATTTTATTGGATGTTGCAGTAAATTTAAATTCTTGTGAAATAGAACAGCTCTGAAAAGAGTTTTAGCAAAACAGTTTTAGCAAAACAGTTCTTAAAATCTTATAAAACTGTTTTAGCAAAACAGTTTTATACCAAAACTGTTTTATACATTGCGAAACTGTTTTAGTTGTTTTATCTTATCGGTAAACCGATAACCGAACCGATAATGATGGATAACCGATTAACCGATAACCGATAATCAATATCTTATCGGTTTGGTTATCGGGTTATGATATTTGTAAACCGATAACCGATAGGCAAAACCGATAATATTCATAACCGAACCGAACCGACCGATGCCCATCCCTAGAGTGGCATAAGAAAAGGTCATATAGTGCAAATAAATTTAACACGCCATATTCAAGGGGAGGTGCCATGGTGCATGCTATTCGCCGATGACATAGTTCTGATTGATGAATCACGAGCCGGTGTTAACGAGAGGCTGGAGGTTTGGAGAGAGACTCTTGAGTCTAAGGGTTTCAAGTTGAGCAGGACGAAGACGGAATACCTGGAGTGTAAGTTCAGTGCTGAGCCGAGGGAAGTGGGCGTGGATGTGAGGCTTGAATCACAGGTCATCTCAAGTAGAGGCAGCTTCAAGTACCTTGGTTTGGTTATCCAGGTGGCGGGGAGATCGACGAGAATGTCACACACCGTATTGGAGTTTGGATGGATGAAGTGGAGGTTAGCGTCTAGAGTCCTGTGTGACAAGAGAGTGCCACTGATACTCGAAGGTAAGTTCTATACAGCGGTGGTTAGACCAGCCATGATGTATGGGGCTGAGTGTTGGCCTGTTAAGAACTCACATATCCAGAAGATGAAAGTAGCATAAATAAGAATGTTGAGGTGGATGTGCGGGCACACTATGCTGGATAAGATTAGGAATGATGATATTCGGGAGAAGGTGCACGTGGCTCCCATCGATGAAAGATGCGGAAAGCGAGGTTCAAATGGTTCAGGCATGTTCAGAGGAGAAGCCCAGATGCTCCGGTACGAAGGTGTGAGCGGATGGTTGTGGAGGGCACGAGAAGAGGTAGAGGGCGGCCTAAGAAGTATTGGGGAGAGGTGATTAGGCAAGATATGGCGAGGCTTCAGATTTCCGAGGACATGATACTTGATAGGGAGATGTGGAGGTCGAGTATTAGGGTTGTAGGTTAGGAGGTAGTTAAGTCTTACCATACTTCGTATCATTGTGGGACTAGTCTGGTAGGGTTTTTGTCTAAGATAGCTAGTGACAATGTTATTGTTTACTATTTCGCCTCCCAGTATAGGACCTATTTACTAGCTATCGCTTTTGCTTTGCATCTTTCTTCTGGATTTCATGTTGTTCCTATTTTTCCTATGATTTCTGTGGTGATACTAATATTGTCTCCTTTTGTCCTTTTGTTTTCTTGAGCCGAGGGTCTTTCGGAAACATCCTTTTTACTCCTTTGGGGTAGGGGTAAGGTTTGCGTATACACTACCCTTCCCAGACTCCATTAATAGAATTTTACTGGGTTGTTGTTGTTGTTACTCGTACTACTAGGAAATATCTACTAGCACCTCTTTTTTAAATCCAAATAGGCATTAGAATACATAAGCCAAAAACCATGAGTATGAACTCCTATCTATGCATAAATCCTATTTTGAATACTAAATACTACTTATGACACAGAATTCCAATATATGGAGGATTATAAGTAATGTCAACTCTTTTCTTGTTCAAACAGAAAGTGTTGTTTGGTTGGAAAGATGTTATCCCAAGACTAATTATTTTGGGATTAGTTATTCCATCTTTTTATATGGATAAAAAAATAGTATAATCCCGGGATAACTAATCCCGGGATTAATTATACTGCACTTTTCTACCAACCAAACATGGGATAAACACTTATTAAATTTAATCCCGAGATTAATTATTCCTTATCCCTCGTACCAAACGAGCCCAAAGAATGTCACATGTAAACGGACTAAACTAGCTGCATGATGCCATACTTCTAATTTATAAATTACAAGTTTGAAATGCATAAAGAACTAAGATGACATGCTGATTGAGTCCAAGAGAAAAAGAGTACTATTTTAAGTATGTGAAGAAACACAAAGCTATATATTTCATGGAGGTTTGGTTGTGTAGTCCAATAGAAATTTTATTTTTATCATATAATTCTATCCACAAGAGATCAATAAATAATAACATAGGAAATCTACAAATAAATAAAACACAGAAAAACCTTGTAGAATCATTATTTTTTCAGTTAATTAGATTCATTCATTAATCAATACTAGTATTCTTAAAGGAATACACTTTGTTTTTCCCAAAATTATGACCTATATAACAGGATACATTAGTGCACTTGATGTTTACATAAATGATACATAGACCGTAATTTGTATATAATAAGACACTAACAATTTTATTAGATAGGCTCCTTTATATAGACCAAATTAAAAAGATAAAGGGTGTCATATTCTTTTTTTTAATAGGCTTTTTTCCTCTATAGTTTTAACTCTTCCCATTTGGTAATCCTTTTTCTTTAATCCCATTTTCGTCACTTTTCTTCTTCCCATCAACAGACTTGGCCTCTTCCTCCTCTTTTCTCTTTGTATTTAGAAAATTAATTAACCCTTTAAGGGAATCCTCAACTTCATCTTCCTTCAACAACTGCTCTGCCACTTCTGCAGGCGTCACCATTTCAATGTCAATTAATTCCTCAATTTCTTTGAAAAGTTTGTACTCTTTAATCCCAAGGTAATTAGAAGCAAGAAGCTTAAAACCACAAGGTGTGCAATATGCCATATGAATATGTACGTCCATTCTACCAGGCCGTAATAGTGCAGAGTCGAGTTTTTCTATGTGATTTGTTGTAAAAATTATGATTCTTTCGTCGCCGCAACTTGACCATATATAGTCCATCAATAAAATTCAGTAAACCAGACAATGTCACCTGCAATAAAAAAAAATATTACTAGTAAGGGAAAGTATTACAATACATTAATACCAAATCTAAATTTTCCCAATATTTGACTCATAAGATTGTTTATGTTCTTATTAAGGTGTTTGGTTTGTGAGCGATAAATAAAAGAGCAGCCTGGTACACTAAGCTCTCGCTATGCGTTACGTCCGGGGAAGGGTCTATTATACGCAGTGGCGGAGTCACATGCATCAAAGGGGTGTCAACCGACACCCCTTTGTCGGAAAATTGCACTGTTTAGCTCGGTAATTTTTTTTTAAAATATATATATATATATATATATATATATATACATATATATATATATATATATATATATATATATATATATATACACTATATAATGACACCCCTTGACTTCTTGGTGAATTTGTTTCTTTATATTTTGACTCCCCTTAATAAAAATCCTGGATCCGCCACTGATTATACGCAGCCTTATCCTGTATTTCTGCAAGAGGCTGTTTCACGGCTCGAACCCGTGACCTCCTGGTCAGATGACAACAACTTTACCAGTTACACAAAGGTTCCCCTTCTTGTGAGCGATAGATAATTATAAAAAAAAAAAAAAAAAAGAAGTCATTCCATATGGACAGAAGACCCACACCCCAAGTTCCCTAGCGTTTGGTTCACTATCCCGATCATGATTTTCCCACCCCAGAGGTAAAGGTACTTCCCGTTTGGACCGATTG